GTTAATATAAAGAAAGATAACCCATTATTAATTTGTCCTCATGTTGAGCATCCATAGGATAGTAAAAAGGAATGAATTCCGAAGGGATTGGATAACAACAGAGATATTAAAACAAACACATACAATGTAAACAACTGCATGATATTTGTAGAACCTCTGTGTACAGTACCTATTTGGAATAACGAAGAACTATGCCATCTGTGTCTGATGGAGAACATAAATGCAACATAAGTCTGATTGTAAATATTTAAAAAATATGTGATAGATAAACATGACAATCAAAGAAGTATTATATTTTTGAAAGTGCCCAGCAAACTAAAGAGTTTTCCCGAATAGTGATACACAGTGGAAAGGTAACTGCATGAAGAAAAAGCTAGCTTTAGATATATTTACACACAAACGGTAACATCATAGAACAAGCTCAGCATTTAAAAAAATTATCTTAAATTTCGAAGGCATTGAAATTCATTCAAAGAGAGAGCCTTTTGATTAAAATTATGTTCTTTGGCTTCTCATTAAGCTTGCTAAAATGGTGAATAAAGGAGACACAGAATACAATCGAGCGAGACTGAAGCTTTTTCACTTTAATCTTCCAGAATAGATGTCCAAGAAGAGGTAACAGGATAGATTTTCAAATGACAAACTACATCGTTGGAAATTGTCAAACTTAGAATAACACTCATGCAGGAAGTGGAAATCGACTGGTTAAGTATTAAGGATGGATAACACTTTATTTTTACCCCACTGTATTTAAATTGCAGTCATGAGCAAGAACATTCGTAACAGCTATGGTGAAGTAGCTGGGTGTCAGAAAGGACAGTACGCAGAAACTGTCATAGTTGGAGGCAGTGTATTTGGGTCTCATAAGGCAGCATGAAGAAAAAAAGGTATATCAGAAGTATATACATATATGAGTAAAGTTTAAAATCTTGGTATGCATGGAAATTGACAATTTTCTCAAGGAAAATATGTTCAACATACATAAAAAATTATTTAAATAACAAATGCATGTTTACTAATTTTTTTTGTCTAATATGCAAAACCTCTTTACTTCTACAGTATACTATTGCGTAGTTGAACGTTCTGATGCACACAAACAATGTTGCGTTGATTGTATGAGATTTTATTTATTTATTTTTCTTTTAGCTTAGAAACCCTACGAAATATTAACTACAATTAACAATAGTTTACTATAGTCAGAACTCTGATTTACCATTAAAAAAAGCTCTAGAACTTTTTGGAAGGTTTAGAGTTTTAATATTTCTTAATTCACTTAAACGTAATGAAATGTTTTTAAAAATGTAAATGTACAAGAAATCCTTTTGTTTAATATCAGAAATTTACTTGTAGGAATTTTTAAATATAAAATAGATCTATCAGAAATTCATAGTAAAAATACTTTGATATAATCAAGTGAAAAATTTTAAGTTACTAGTATTATATTTATTTAAAGTAAACTATATTTACCTATAGGACTTTTTGTTAGAGGGGTCATGAGAGAATCTGTGTATTTTTTCTTTATTGATTCACAAAGGCGAGATGGTAAGTGTAAAACCCCAGTCACATTTCAAAAAACGACCAACGGCCGACTGGTTTTGAAGCAAAAATGGGATTCTTCGGGTGACAGTCGTCAGTTCATCGGCCGTTTTCTTGGCCGATTTTGACCTATTTTTTTGTCGGCCGACCAATTTTATGTCCATTGGTCCAAGTTATAATTTTTCATGCGTCGGTGGCCGATTTCTTCAACTGCAGTTATCCGTCGATCAAATCATTGTCCGACTATCGGCGGTCAGTTTATTAAGTCGGTCGTCCGTCGTCGGACAATATAGGGTGTGACGGTTGAAATCAAACTGTAGCTCAGAGCTCGATGATCGGGCGACGATTGGCCGACTTGTGAATATTTAGGCTCAAGTACATTATAAGAAATAAGAATATATATTTTTGCATATTTATTTATATTCATAAATGTACAAAAACAAAATGAATTAGCATATTTTGTATATGAATTAAATGTATGCAATTTTAATGAATATTTAGAGCCATTGTTCGTGAATTATACCAACCGATTGCATTTTTTATTGCATTCTATATCGTCAAACAATTATTATATCAAATGGATTATAAATGTACAAAACAAGATATTTAATCTTGCATATAAATTGATTTAAAAGATTATGTTCAAACAAATGTTACTATGTTTGCTTAACAGGCCGACAGGTTGACAGGTCGACAGGTAGACAGGTAGACAGGTTGACGTTTCGACAGGTCGAACAACATAAAGATACTCAATTCACATCACAGGTAGACATGTTTATTTAAATATTTCACAATGTCAACTCGTCATAGGTTTGGATTGTCAAATGGAGATGTATACATCTAACTGTTTATATGAAAAGAGAATGGAAATTATATAATGTACATGTACATGTATCTTATGATATGAATCACCCGCCCTTAAGATGAACTTGTAGTGATATTAAAAATTTAAAAGATTATCTGTTCAAACAAATGTTACTATGTTTGCTTAACAGGTCGACAGGTTGACAGGTCGACGGGTCGACAGGTCGACGGGTTGACAGGTCGACAGGTAGACAGGTCGACGGGTTGACAGGTTGACAGGTCGACAGGTAGACAGGTCGACGGGTTGACAGGTCGACAGGTAGACATGTTTATTTAAATATGTAATTCAACATGTCGTCATAGGTTTGGAATGTCAAATGGAGATGTATACATCTGTTATCAGACATTGCGCATATGAAAAGATTTGGAAATTACACTTTTAGGCATTCAATGTACATGTACATGTATCTTATGATATGAGTGCCCCCCCCACCCCCACCCACCCTTAAGATGATACTTGTAGTGATATAACTAAATAAATATACATTGAATTATAAAAAAAAACCTGTCAACTTTAAACAACCTGTCGACCTGTCAAATTGTAAAAAAAAAAATAATAAAGTTTGTGTTGTTATTTTAGATCTATTCTTGGTTTTTATTATGCTAAATTATTTCAATCAAAGTGCTTGTAAATATTCATTAAAAAGTAATTTGCATTTATTGTGTTGTACATATATTTATATAAGAATACAATTGATATAATCATACATGAATATTTATGATCTTTCAAAAATATTATAATAACAAAACCGATTTACTGCAGATTATGTGGATGGGACTATTTTCGTCTTATTTTGTACTTGACCCAATATTTAACCTATTAATTATACAAAACACAAACAAAAATTTGATGCATGGATTTATATAATTTTTTTTGAACGGAAATATCACAAATAATTAATCTGTAAGATATGAAGAAATCTTAAGTATTCTTTGCTGCGTAGAAGTCGTTTTTATGCAATTCCATACAAATTTTGCACACATTTTCAACATTGAGTCATAATTTTACATGTATAAGATTTTGCCACTTTGCCTTGCAAACATTACTCACGTCACCTATCTGAATATAGATCTATGAAAAATACTGCTGATTTCTAAAGAAAAAGATTTTTTTGTGCTATTCATCCAATTCATCGGTGTACCAAGGATATTTTCTATGATACTGTGTCGGCCGATCCTGTTCTTTGAGTCGCCCGACCATCGGCTTAAATGTGACCTAGGCATAAGAGAGATAACCCCAACTATATCACAAAGAAATACGAGGAATCAAAATCGCCAACTAGTACCAAAAGATTTAGTATTATCAAGGATAACTCCAAAAAATCAATACTTAATTTAAAATGCATCAAAATGAAGCTTGAAAATGAAATTTTTTCATGCAACAATTTACAACAAATATAACTTTATGTGATTTAACCTGCTACCGAAGGTTACTTAAGTTATTTAGAATTGTTTAATCAATGAAACAAATAAAGATACTCAATTCAATCACAGGCACAATTTTTCTTGTTATAAAATATATAAAGTACTGCATTACGATGGTCAATTTGATGAAACCTGGTGAAACAATCTATATAGTTGATATAGACCCTTTTCAAAGGTTTCACGTATTTTTCTTTTATTTAAGTGCATTAAGATGGATTATCATAAATACTTTTCAATAAATATTTACTTTCTGAGATAAGCACCTACGTTGCATTACGAGGCCAATGAAACGAAAGTTGATATAGAGTCATGTATTTTTCTTTGTTTTAATGTTTGATGGATTCATAAAAGATAAGGTTTGACTTATGAATTGTTAAGTGACATTTTTCATGCTTTGTTTAAAACAAATATAAGGCTAAGCTACATGTATGCAACTAAAATTTATTTTCATCTTATAGAAACCAACGAAGAGTTAGGACGTCTTCATTCCTCTGGTGTACATTTCGTAATGGCCATATGCGATTAATAACATTTATAATACATTTTTAAAAAGAGTATTCATTAAAAAATATATCTAAAATTGAAAAGTCACATCATGCGAAGTTTGCCTCAATTGAAAAAGGTTAATTTACATTTATATATTAACAATTACTTTAATAAATACAGCCGAATCATTGCATTATTGGTCGCTTTATGTTTATCATATATATCATAGATATACAATTATATTTGCAGTCGTTTTCACAAATTAACCCATCAAAAGCCAAGAACGCATAATAATATACTTGTTTAAAAATATTATGTAAAGATATATTTTTTTCAATTATGTACACCGCAAAAGTTTTTTTTCAATGTACAACTAATGCCTTATGGATAGAATCTATATTTGCTGAATATTTTATCCAAGACATTAAAGGAACAAAAAGACTAACAAATAGAAAGAGGGAAAACAAAAAGAATTTTTCATCTTTCTTTCCCTTTTCACTGTTAAAATTATTTTCTTTTAGTGCAGAATTATGGGTGCTTACTTCTCCAAAGTACCTGATGGAAGAGCACCTCTGGTACCTGATGGAAGAACACCTCTGGTACCTGATGGAAGATCACCTCTGGTACCTAATGGAAGAGCACCGCTGGTACCTGATGGAGGAGCACCTCTGATACGACATCGTACCATCTCTAAACGTTCGGTACGTATTTGCTCTGCTTCTATTTTGTATTGTTTAATGGACTTGAACTTGAATACTGTTCATCATCTCCATATATTTCATGTAAAAGATGGGGGATGAAGATTACCTGTTTGTCGTTGCCATTGACTTTGGAACAACATACTCGGGGTTTTCGTTTTCTTCAAGAGAAGATTACCGTTCAAATCCCCTGAGTCAACATTCAAAACAATGGTACGATTCCTTCAGTTCATTCATCTCATATAAAACATCCACCTGTGTATTATTTGACCCGCAAGGTGAATTCCATAGCTTTGGATTTGACGCAGAAGAACATTATTACAATCTTGCTGAAAAGGGTATTCATAGAGACTGGTACTATTTCAGAAGATTCAAAATGTGGTTGTATGAACAGGTATGTCAACTTTTACAAAAATTTAGTTTATGAACAAAATTAAATTGACTACAATACTACTTTCAATAGAATAGTCATTGAGATGAATGCTGAATTCAAACAATATACTTTAAGGTAATTAATGCAATGTCTCTAAATAAATGAGACAAAAACTTACTAACGTTGAGACAATTATCAACGCCGATTAAAACGCAATTCTAATTCAATTATTTTGTAAAACACTTTTTGATTGGCTAATGCACTGATGTTTGAAGCAGTAAAATGAGCATTAATGATCGTGAAAGCTTTTTCATTGTGACGTCATAATAGAGCGACGCAAAAACACAATGCTCCCTGACGTATTTCATGTAACAAAATTCACCAAATAAGACGAAAACAACAAACAAAATGCATGGAATGCATTAGAATGGGAATAACTAATCTTCTAATTTGGTATTTGCAACTGTTAATGCTGATTTAACGGTCGCAAACTGAGTTTTACCGGCGACGCGTAACCAAATTAGAAGATAGTTATTCCTTAATTCATCTACAAAACGGTTTATAAGGCTTATATGACCTACAATACTTTCATTATACAAATTGCACATTCATATGTCCAAAACAGAAGATGTTTTGATCTATATGTATAAAGTTGATAAAACTAATTTTCGTGTAAATTACTGTATATATGTTTTGATCTCTTATTTTGTTTCTTCACAAACACTCATGCCTAGAATGACGACGAGAGACTGAGGGACCAAAATGGGAAAGAAATGGATGCCATAAAAGTTTTCTCGCAATCAATCCTTTATCTAAAAAATTCCTTTACTAAGCAAACTGAAAATACTGGTCTAGACTGGAGACCAAATGATATTAGATGGGTTCTAACTGTTCCAGCAATCTGGACTGAAACAAAGAAATCATTCATGAGGAGAGCAGCTGAAATGGCAGGTACCCTAACTCTTTTAAAATTCAATAAATATTAATGAAACTTCATGAATCATTATAATTGTTTTCTTACAGGCGGGCATACCTCCACATCAGCTAATACTCGCACTAGAACCCGAAGCAGCTGCAATATTCACATATGAGTTGATGAAAGCAGAATCACGTGTTGAAGACTTCTTTTATTCCGGTCGTCAATTTATAGTAGTGGACGCAGGGGGTCAGAATTTTTAATTCTTTCAAAACTGAGCAATGTTTGACATTGAAAATATTTATTTTCATAAGTAATACTCCCTCTCTCTCTCTCTCTCTCTCTCTCTCTCTCTCTCTCTCTCTCCTAGTGTGTGTTATTTTCTTTAGACAAATGTATAATGTTGAACTTTTATTTTCTTTAAGGGGGTACTGTCGATATAACCGGATATGAAGTTGCACATGATGGAAGCCTGAGCGAGATTTTCCCACCTTCAGGTGGTGACTGGGGAGGAAACAATGTTAATCAAGAGTTCATTTCACTTCTAAAAGAAATTTGTGGTGAAGAAATCATTGCAAAATTTAGACAGGAATTTGCTGGTGAATATCATGAACTCGAAATGGACATCGAGTTCTCAAAATGTAGAATTAAATCCGCACGAACCGATCAAGATTTTACCTTGAAAATACCCAGCAGCTTACGGGAGATGTATAAAGAAAATGCTGGAAAAAATTTTAATACAACAGTAAACAGATTTGGAAAATCATTCGAAATTAAATTGAGAGCTGATAAAATTCGATTTTCTCAAGACCTAGCTCTTTCACTTTTTAGACAATCTGTATCTTCTATCGTAAATCACTTAAATGTCTTGCTGAGTCAACCAGATGGACAAAACATCGATGCAATTATATTAGTAGGAGGATTTGCAAACTCAAGTGTTCTTTTTAATACTCTTAAAAGTGAATTTGCACCGAGAAAGGTTATTGCACCAAATTATCAGGACGGTGATGCATCTTGGTCGATCTTACGAGGAGCAGTGAACTACGGCCATGGGTCAAAGGTCATAGGTTACAGACGTAGTAGACGGACGATAGGCTTTGAAGTCAATGAACCATATGATAAAGGTCACCACCAAGTCAGACAAGCAGTTATGGTGAACGGGGAAGCAAGATGTTATAATGTGTTTAAGAAAATGGTAGAAAAGAATCAGCTTCTGAAAGCTGGTGAATTCAAAACTGAAGTAGTAGGGGTCGATCTGGACTGGGATGGGAACCTGATTTTCTTCGCTTCAGACAATAAAGATCCCATTTTTACAAACGAAGAATCTTGTTTCAGGATTGGTTCCATGCGTGCTGAAGGACCTTTTCAAGCTAATTCTGCTTTGGAAATTAAAATGATTTTTAGTAAGACTGAAATCGAATTCGAGATTAAGAACATTCAAAGTGGCCTTATAAGTAAAAGATTTCTAACTCAGTTTTAGGAAGCACATTTTTGCAAACAGTGTTTCTTGAACACAATAAATACATGGTAAGCATTTCTCAAAAATGTTCACAATTTTTCACCTGAAGACTTCATATTTAGTATTTTTTTGAAAGAGAGTATATATTTTTCGTATGTATTTCAAATGGAACAACATGTTATGGTCATGAAATTTTGTCAACAAATTGTCCTTTGTAAGGCATGCATAACTTGTGTAGTCATTGTATAACATTTCTTTCGTAATGCACAAACTAATGAATTTTAGGTAATTCACTTGATGATATATTTGAATACTAGATACATGCACATCTAATGCCCTGTTCACACAACGAGTTTAATTCGCAGTAAATTAATGCGAAGTAAACTAATGCGAATCAAAATAATGCGAATTAAATTGCGTTCACACAACATCTAATGCGAAGTAAACTAATGCGAATTAAATTTTTTCATCTACAATCAGGCGTCAGTTAGTCTATTATGACGTCATTTGTAAATCACGTCATGTATGCAGAGCCATCCTTTGATACATCATGTAGTGGCTACAGGTATTCAATGATTTTAGTGTTTAACATACTTTCCCTCAATTTTTGAACCAAATATAGCAAAAATACCTATATATAACCACCAACACGTGTCCTGTGACTTAATTCTGGCCTTACGCATGCGTCAAAATTTAATTCGAATTAGCTTTGCTATAGCGTTCATACGGAGATAATGCGAAGTAATTTAATGCGCAGTAGTTTAATTCGAATTAAACTAATTCGCATTAAATTCTCCATGTGAACGCTAAGCGAAGCTAATTCGCAGTAACTTTACGTTTAATTCGAATTAAACTCTCCGTGTGAACAGGGCATTGTATTGTATTGTTTATTACCAAGAACCATACAGTTCATAGGTTTAACGTATATACATAAATCAGTTGTACAGTATATGTATAACATTTCAATATCATTTGAACATTAAGTAAAGAGGATCACAGAAAATTTTTACAAACTAATGCTAAATTCATAAAAGAAAAAAAAAATATAAGTTTAGTAATAGTAGTAGTGAGGATAAAGTCGTTATATCAATTCAATTTACATCTGCTCTTAATTTTGTACATTTATAAAGATATTTTCCCAGTTTACATAATTACATTTTTTGTCGACAACAATTGAACAAGTTTAAAGGTAGAGGGTTTTTGGTGATAATATTTCTTAATATACTCTTTTCTAACATTAGAAAAAAATGAACAAACCAGAATAAAATGATACTCGTCTTCAACCTGTGACATTGAACAAAATTTACATAATCTTTCAACAAAGGAAATATTAAAAAATCTTCCTCGCTCTATCTCTAGTTGGTGACCAAAATTTAAAAAAAAATATTGACTGATATGTTGTGCATATTTTTGTGATATTGACCTTTTTAAATATAATTGTAAATCAAAACTATCACTTAAATGCTTATACAAAATGCACTTCGGAGAACCTTCAAAATAACTTCGTGCCATAATTTGCTATACTACCAATATATGTATCAAACAATGACAGTTTAGTACTTACATTCAAATACATTGGTTTCATTTTTGTTATTAAACTACTTAGACTCTTTCTACATTGTGCTGCTAGTACACTTTGTGTTTTGTTAAATTTACCATTATAATTCAAAGTTATTCCTAAGTAATTGAAATTTTCAACAATATCAATCAATTTGTTTTCGTACTTCATTGATATATCATCATTGAGCGTAGTAAATAAATCTATATCATTTTTTCTGTAAAAAACATTATTTTCATGCGGTATGTAAACAAATCCGATATAAAGTTCGGTATTTTGAACATTAATACCGTTTTGGCATTTCACCCATAAAATAGATTCATGTACAATGTTCTCCACCAACAACTTATCGTGTAATTCTTTTTTATAAATAAGCATAAAACCTCCACCTTTACATGATTTTCTAGGAAAACATTTGTGAAAAAAATTTTCATTAATAAGACTGTCGTCAATATCAGTATTTACATCAAGCCAACATTCTGATAAAAAAATAATATCATATGTGTCAATAAATGATATAAATTCTGGGTCTCTAATTTTATTGTACATCTGTCGATTTACATTCCAGGAACATATTTTGAGTTTATCCCCGGCGTTTTCCTATCTCGTGGCATTGTTATCAAGTGATGGGCGATAAAGCCTATTGTCGATGTAAAGCTTGTTGTAGACCAGTCTAACTCGATGTCCGTCCGCGCGTTTTTTCTTCATGATTCGGATCAACTCCTTCCTTTCCGCGACAATTTCATTCGGGTATTGCTCGTTGATGTAATAATTTGTACCTCTGAGGTTTTTAGACATCCCCTTTACCTGCTGTCTTTGTTGGTATTCATTGAATTTCGCAACGATGACCCTTGGCGTTTGACCTCCAGCTATTCTGTGCACTCTATCGAATTTCAGATTGTTGACCTGCGCCTGAGGAAATCACGCAGAATTTTTTCGGTATCTTTTGGAGTTTCATTTTCAGTTTCCGGTATATTCGAAAAGAGCAGATTATCCCTCATTGAACGAGACTTTAGATCCACTAATTCATCCTTTAGTTTCTTATTATCCTCTTCTAGTTTACTTAACTTCTCATCCAACTTTCCCAGTCCAAACTCCATACTATCCTTTCTTGTAATTCCCGTATAAATTTGCCGTTCTCTTCAAAACCCCTTTTCAAGTCCGTTGTTATATCATTTATTTTCTTATCAGATGTGATCAATTTTTTCTCTACAAGATCTAACTTTTTCACCTGCTGGGTCAACATTGGAGATTTTGTTATCTAAATGCGAGATCTTTGCTTCGATGGTACCCATGATTTTCATGATAATTTCAAACCAGGGGGGTGGATTCACCTGTGGCAGGGGTCACTGTTGACTGCGTTGCACCCTGGACTGCAGAAATGTCTACTTGAGTAGAGGATTCTGTTTCATTCTGTGCGATCATATTTTCTTTTATTTCGGCCAAATTAGATTTGCTTACTGGTGTGGACGTATTTAACGCTGCTTTGAAATCTGTCAGTACATCGCATAAAACGTAAGCATGAGTTCGCATTCTTACCGAATTCTAATGATATAATGAAATGTATTTATAAAGAGAAGTGACAGTATTTTATAATGCCTTAAAAGTAAAAAAAAATACAATTTGTAAACACAGCAAGCAAGGATATGTGAAAACATTAGAAGTCGGGTGATTTACCATGGAAGATAAATATTCTCTATTGACCCGGAGCATTTGCTGTTTGTCTTAACCGAGTTAGTAATTCTGAAAACTCAGCACGAGACAATGGTATGAAAGATTTCATAAAAAGGTTTATATTCGACCCAGTGACAGGTGGACATTGCAAACATTATCACTGTATTGACCAAAATTTAAAAAAAAAATAAATATGTGATTTTAAACAAGGTTAATACCTTTGAAACATCCAATTATCTGTCAATCGCCTTCCTCAGCTTAGAAATAGTAAAGGACATATGCAGATAAACAAATAATAACATTGATAAGAGAAATTAACAGTAGAAAAAGTCAAGTCATATACCAGACAGTCTTTGGTAAAAAAACCTAAATATAAAACCAAACTCCAAAGCGTTTTTTTTAAATATTTTACTTATAGTGGAATACATATAATCAAAGAAATCCCACAAATAACGTTTTACAATACATCAGTGTCCATTAATTACTTCAATATTTTACAGTAAATCGTATTATGTTCATAATAAAAAATACTCTATAAATGCCGAATAGTTAACGATTGTCAAAAGCTCAGTAAATTAGCTTTAAAAATAATTTAATAGCCATTTTATTTTTCTTTTGGGATCCGTCCCATCAAGTAAAACTCTTTATTTGGTTTTAAGTTCATCAGGTAAGCCATTCTGTTAGATAGAGCAAACAAAGCTGTCACCGCTCCAATATCCCACAAATCGTCTTTGTCAAGTCCGTGCTTTTTCAGGTTTTCTATCTTATCCTCTGTGATAGGCTGACAGCGACACAAATCCATGGCAACATCCAAAATAGCGCGTTGTCGATCGTCAAGATCCGCCGTTTTCCAATTTGCAGCAATCTTCACAAAGTGAAAAAAAAAATGAATATCACACACATTTTACCTATTCAACCTTGTAACCTATGATCATTTTATTTCATATCACCCTCATTTTATCAAGTACGATATCACTCTTAAATGAGAAAGTGAATTAAACATCAACTTAGTCAGATGATGACATTTTTTATTTCAGTATTTAAGGATTTACAAAAAGAAACCATAATAGGAAGGATAATATTTGATTAAAATATATATAAATATAAACACGTCTCTTTAATACCATATCATAATCAGTTAATAATTAAGCAAAAATTTACAGGCACATTGTTTGGCATTCAATTCCATGGAAAGAGATTGAAAGCTTTTCACTTTTGATAAAATTATTTTTGATTCACTTACTTGATCTGCTAAGTGTGGGTTTTTTGAGAATATACGATGAAGTGCTCCGTGTGCTATGATGCAGTATAGACAGTTATTTTCTGAGGACGTGGCTAGAATGATCATCTCTTTGTCCGCTTTTGTCAAGTTTCCTGGGCATAATGTATCAATTATCAGAAAGGTACGAGTTGGAAAAAATGAAAATATTTTAGATATTTCTTAATCTACTATTTTAAACAATGTCAAATGTTTCAAAAAGAAAACATTGACTTTTAGGTTTAAAAGAAAATAATTGTTAAAAATGTCCCTCAATTTACTATATCCATTTATGTATATTGGATTTATGGAAAACGTAGGTAACACAATCCGTGATAGAACTTTGTAAAAAAAAAAATAGTAATAACATTGTGTAAGTAATCCAATAAAAAATCAAGTAATGTGTATACAATGCTATATTCTACGAATTGTTTTTTTACAGTTTGATAAAAAAATTTGAACAGTGTGACGTCATTTAATGTCTGCTTAATATATCTGATCAAGACTTTATTTCAAAGCAAGTACTACTCGCTTTAAATATTCCTTCGCCTTTTATTTTTCTCACTAAAATTAACTTCATGTTATAAAAATTTAAAACATGTTCATAAATGATATAAAAATGAATTCACCAATATCATTAACATGTTATATTTTATATTTAATTAAAAGAGACGGAAACCCCACCTCTGTTCACCGCCATGACAGCATCATAATACTGAACAAAAGCACGTAACTCATCCGGGCGGTACGACATGGCACGAAACACATTCGGAGAAAACCCACTCTGTAAATTAGAAGTCAATCTCAAATTTTTCATGTAAAATTTCTCATAACATATCTTATTTTAAGGTGACACGGTCCTCCCATGAGAGAAATAACTTCCAAAGCAAGCTGGCTAATAATTTGTACCAGAATAAGAAATGAGGATCATCATAATTAAAGTATTAAAATCTATCATTACAAGGGGTGATCAACTTCAATAAAAGAAGCAATATTTGGTTTCAGTGTTGATTATATTTTAAATTAGTCTCTCCGTTTTTAATGCACATCTGCCACCGCTCTGCTCATGCGCGAATCACGTGATAAAAAGGGTCACATGGCCTGCTATGTAGCGTATTTACAATATCTTTACATGCACGTAAATTTTGATAGCAAGAACAGTTCATTTGTCAGTTAAATGCTCAATCTCAAAATCTTAAGAAAAACAGAAAATGTTTGACCTTAAGTATATAAGTTCATTGTCTATAAATAACTTTTAGTTCATATCTATATCAGGAGAAGTACACTTTCATTTAGACTTCTTTGATAAATCAAGGAATACAGGTTAACTGTACCTTGGACCTTCCAACACCAAAACCATAAGAAAATTTGGGTATAATTGCTACTTTGAAGTTTTGGAAACAAAGTACCAGTGCTTAAAATTGAATTAAACCGGCTTCATAAAAAGCAAACGTTAATCGAAACAAATTAAAGGACTCAGCTTGAATAGTATTTTTTAGCTGATTGAATATCATATATTGATAAAATTTGATGAATAAAACAAGTTTGGTTAAAGAATGACTACTTTGGAAAGGAACAACTCCAAAAACATTAACGTGTTAAATTATCAAGAAAATGAAGGTCAATTCCATCATTTGAAGCAAATCTACTAGTATCAATCACTAGCTGCACTATCTTTGCAAGTTAAGTTTGTTCATAACAGGCAATAAAAGTCATTAATTATGAGGACTATGTGCTTTTTTTTAAAAAACTTTAACCTGGTCATTATAATCTTGGATATCAAAATCATAATTATCCAATTTGCTACAGTATGTTTAAGGGAGGGATCATTTTTCCTAAGCTGGAAAAATATAGGTATAAGCATCATAAGTATTAGGTAGTGTCCATCCATCATCTGCAATTTTGTGCTAGGTAATGTTTATGGTCACTAAAAATGGACATGAATGTATAAACATGTATTTCAATTGCAGCTTCCGAAGTTATACTGCTAGTAACTGTTATATGCTTGTTTCTTTTTGTTTTGTTTTGTGTCCCCCTCGAGAATTTTTCACACATATGGTGGAGTCACCACCACTTGTCAGTGAAGGGCAACAAATTTAGAGCTATGTACTCGATACTTAGGACTACTGAACAGTCAAAGGATCAGTTTCATGCTAGCAACTACTGCGACACGGGACCTCAGTTTATACACAGTCATATCTGAAGGACCGGTCTCAACGTCCCTCATTAGAATTCTATCCCGTGAGGTTAGGATTAACTTCTTACTTTGCAACTCGAGATGACAAAAGGTTTGGTAAGGGTAGTGCCTATAGTTAATTTGAAATGATCCTACTCTTTAAACTTAATTCCCCCTCACACATCTCGAAAATTGTATTTCATATCCAGCATTCGAGCTAAGCTATCTGATCCAATCCTTAGATGCATCAAGCATGCAAGTTTGGTCCTAAAAGGCTTATATTTGCTCCTAATACTTTAACAGTGGAGCGGGTGCTAATGCATAGGCCAGTGATAAATAGAATATGCTCTTCATCGAGGTGAGCTGAAATGGCTCAAGTGGTATATAACTGTATGAAAGGCAATTAAAAACATTTATTTGATTGGACAATGTCACATTTTAGGTTTCCAAAGAGATAATCAATGGCACAGAGAATAACATAAATTATGAGTTGTATAAAAAAAATGTATATAAAAGATTTTAAATTATTTGACTAGTGAATTAATTGATTTTGTTTATTGGATTTAGGTTTATTTTAGCATTTTTGTTTTATTTCATTTATTGTACTAATATTGTACTCATAAAGTCAATTTTTAGTCTTGGCTTTCTTAAATCAAAATGTGCATTTCTTTCAAAGTTGTGAAAACTTAGTTATGATTTAATCATAATTGAAGAGACATAAACAAGAAGATTTCAAATTAATAATACGCAAATTACTAAACTGAAATTGAGAAACAAACTTTTATACTTTCTCTTCCACAGTCTCCATGGCTATTCGCATATCTTCCGGTAGGGTTTTGACATCCGGTACTGGAAATCTGCTGAAGTCATTCAATAAGATTGGGGTCCAGTTTATATACCGCACAGGGAACTTAAATAACTTGCATACCTATAAAATAAAGGAAATTAATTAAAAGGTTATTGAATCACACGTATTTAACTATTTACTACCATAACTGCACGCCATACCGGAGTAAACGTCCTACATTTACTGTTTAATTTAAGGAACGCAAAGTTCTTTACAATTTTATTATTAATCTGAAATAAATTGCTCTTAAGTTTTTTAAAAAATTTATAAATATAGAAATTATAAAAGACTGCAGCATGATAATGAACAACATCAACGTACTTGTCGAGGGACACTTTTCAGTAGAGACGCCATTGTTTACAAACTGAAAGAGGTTGACAAATTAGTACGGAACACACTAAGTGAGAAAAGATTTCATGCTTGTTTAGTCAGGATTAAAACTACTTGACACTCTATTCCCCCTTTGATCCATCCAATTCATAGAAAAAATACCAAAAAAAACTAAATTACTAGTATTATAAAATTAAAGTCGAAGATTTCCCAAAGGAATCATTTATCAACATTTTTGTTAGCATCCAATGACTTTGTATTTAAGCTAAAATAGAGAGAAACTTAGCGCTGGTGAACATTTTCTTTATACATTAAATATCATGTTGTATCAATTGATTGATTAATTAATCTATTTATTTATTTAACTATTTATCAAATAATCATTAAATGATTAATTAATTTAGTTATTTATTTATAAATTTGTTTATTTATTTTTATATTGCATGTAGTAAATTAATTAACTCATTAGTTATTTATTTTATTTATCAACACATTTTTTTTTCTTTGTTTATTTATTTATCTATTTTTTCCATTTGTTCAATTTATTAATTAATTAATTTTGCAATATTAAATGCTATCAGATAGAAAATTCCGAAAACAAGTGAGTATACAGCTCAAAAATATGGAGGGAGAGACAAATGGAAACAAAATGGTGAAAGGTTTCACAAACCAAACCAAAAATACTTCAAATATGTATATGCACGTAACCATTTATACATCTAATGCAATAAATATACACCGAAAATGCTGCTTAATGCAGGAAATACCGGTTTTTGCTTGACAATTTTATGGTTATTTTATCTTTCTCAGTGTAAATCGTGCAGTAATTTTTTTTGTTTTCACACGATTTTTCTTGAAAATTACTTTTCTCATCTTTAAAATTGGATTTGCGTATACCCAATGGGAATTTCTTCTTTTTTGACGTGCGATTTAAAAATAATTGACAACATAATTGCTGACTCAAAACAGAAAAACAAGCCAAACCTTTGTTTTCAAAGAGTAAAGTGCACTGTTATCAGTATAGAGAGATCTAAATAAACCACCAGTTCTTAAACCAAATTCACATTTTAAATATGCTAATATATTTTATCAGTTGATTGATTGATTGTATGGTGTTAAATGTCCTTCTCGAGAATTTTTCACTAATATGGAGACGCAGTTGATTAACTAGATTTATCAATCGTAAACTATGCTCTTCGCGTAAAGTATATTTAACGATGGCACGTCAATTTTTCAAAAATTAGCTAAACACAGTTTTACATTTTTAAATTTATAAACTATAAAAAGGTTAAAAAAAATCACACTTTTCCCTTACACGAGCTCTCTGAAGTTCAAATAAAATGCTGTAGTTCCTCATAGACAAAATAAATGTCTTTGGAAATTCGAACAAATTGTAATGGAAACTGTAATTGGCACTTATTGTGTTTCTTCATTTGTTTTTTAAAACATGAAAACACTTGCTGTGGCCTTCAACTCGACATTCAGATATATCGATAATGTATGTTATAACAATGGTTACTTTCATTCATTTGTCCATTCGATATAGCCAAGTGAACTCGAAATAATTGAAACCACATAATCTGTCACATCCATATCATACTTAGATGTTTTTCTACCTATGAAGGCAAAAACAACTACATTGTATGACAAACGAGATAAGTATATTTTTTCCACTCTCTGTAATACCCTACTATCACATTTGTATGGTGTTTCCAACCCCCAGCTAAATCTTTACTCCAGATCATATTCCGAGTAAAATCAATGTTAAAATGGAGGCAAAGTGCCAAATAAGTTGATGTGAGAGGGATTTCAAAAAGCTCGTACATTTAAGGTGGGATTCTTCTCTGGTATCTGACTGGTTGAAAAATTCAAAGTATATTTGCTTATATGTCTAATATATTTAGATGTAAAAGATTTAAAACAATATTTTTTCCTCATCAAAATTGTACAACTTTAAACGGAAATGGTAAACTGCGTTTGAAATCTAGCGGGGACTATATTTTTTGCGCCATGGGGGCGTATGAAAATATTTTCTTTTCTGTCTCTCAAAATATTATTATTATTGAACAATGAATTTAGTTATAATTTTCACTCAAAGACTTGAAGAAATTTTCAGTTATAATTAACTTTAATAATAAGGGAGTAAAGTTTCAAAATATACTAAAAGAATATGATATTCTAAATAAACTAGAATTATGTTACTTAGCTTTTGAAAGCTCCGAATCTAAGTACAGATTTGAGCCAAATATCCGTTAAAAGTGTGTTTTCTCTCTTAGTTAACGATCGAAACTTTTTGCTTTTGTATCATTTAATTTATATCTTTATGTGAGTGAAAATAAGAAAATAGGAAGCATATAAAAATAACTAATTTATCCTTTTAAAAAATTAAGAAAAAATAGAGAAATTTCACATTAGCCAATGTTCATTTTACTTAAATTATGTATGTCAATTTAGTAATATCATTTTCCCTATCTGGTAGTATCTTTTTATACAAAAAGAAAAAGAAAATCAATCTTTTGAAGTACAGGTAGGCATCGTATGATTGGCAACAGAATTTTTTTATTCTTAACGTCCAGGGAAAAGGTAATGGCCTTGACCTGACCTTGCCTCTAATATAAAACGGTGAGAAGAATCCCTCCTGCAATGCGGTCTTCTTAAATTCTATGGCCATTATAATGATCTTGTTAGTTTTAATCTTTCACTGGGTGGTATTTTGTTTGACTAGTTTCATAGCAATTGTAAGGCCTTTGACTTTAAACTGAATTTGACTGTAGAATGTTCCATCTACCCGATTTGTACACTGGACTCACAGCTTGTTTGACATTTTGACAGCGAATGCTTGCCTACTCTCTAGGCAAATCATCTCACCTCTAGAATTTTCAGCGGTCCTTGTCTTATGGCCTCTACATATAAATATCTTGAGATCGACCTATGTCTGTTATCTACATCTTTTTCATTGTGAGAAAGACGTCATGTAAAAACTCTTATTAACATGTGTTTATCGTTAACCATAGTTGAAATACTATATTACGTATAAACCACACTCTATGTTTATCATAAAAAGTTTTGCTTTTGTTTACTATATTTAGAAGGTAATCATAATGTACTATTCGTTAAACCTCATGTTTATTTTATACACTGAAATTTTCGAATCACAATTATAAGGACCCCGGGTGCAATTGGGAACAAAGAAATGGAAAGTATATATATATACAGTACATAGAATCTCAACAGTCTCGTTAAAAGTCATAATTTTGCAAGTTCTATGTTTGAAACAATAATCTTGCCAACAAATACAAATACAGATACCACGGAGTCTGACACATCTGTTTCATACTTGTATATTTTACTTGAAAAAGACGTTAATGGTAATCTAACAACCAAGCTCAATGATAAACGTGATGACTTTAACTTTTCTATTGTCAGCTTCCCTTACTTATGCAGCAATATACCTTCATCACCAGCATACAGCGTTTAAACGATACGCAAGAGCATGCTCTACATATGAACAAGAATGATGAAACAAGAATATCAGCAGTCTCGTTTAAAGTAATCATTTCGTAAGTTCTTTGGTCGATGCAATGACATTGTCAGCAAAAAAAATTATCATTGAGTTAAATGCTGACTGACGTTTTTCATAATAACTGTTAGTGCGTTATTTATACATTGAATTGACGACGGATTTTTCCGTTATTTCCCGATCATGACAAGGAGCACACGGTGGGTGTGACTAGTCAGCAGGGGATGCTCACTCCTCCATGGCACCTGATCCAACCTCTGATGTTTTAGAGGTCCGTGTTTGCTGTGCTCCTATTTTGTATTGTTTTATGGACTTTGATATTGAATACTGTTTGTTATCTCCATATCCTTCATGTTTTGAAAACACAATTTAAGAGCAGTAAGGTATATTTTTCTCCTTAACTTTACCTATGCATGCAATTTGATAAAATACAGCGTCAACGTTAACACAAATGAGAAAAACGTACTAAATGTAAATAGTGTAACCATACTTTAACATAGTCTCTCTCTCTCTCTCTCTCTCTCTCTCTCTCTCTCTAACATTACGTCTTTATCTTCGGTAAAAGTGGTACATGTATTCCATGCAGGTACACTTCTGTTACCCCTTTAATGATTAGGGACAAGCAACACATTGTGCAACATTAAGGTTTTGACCGGGGACTCTAAAGCCAAATCAACCTTTATTTATTTATTATTGAAATTAAGCCATCTAGTGATATACAGTAAAGGTATGTAAAGCACACACAAAAGTCAACAAAAAGTAGTACATGTTTTTTACTTTATATTTTGATGTTTATTATCTAGATTTACACACCTGGCGCAGTAGGATAATATTAAAATAGATTTACTTGCGTCAGAAATGTTGGCCACATATTGCGATCTAGAAATAATAATTATGATGTTGATATGATTATCATCCATAGTTATCATATATACTGAGTATTTGTTTATTTACTAATTTTGTGATCAATTTTTAAAAAAAAATTGAATTTTACTTAGAATTCCTTTATTTTGCACCCTAAGTAATAATCTATTACGTACCTTCATTGGTTTATGTAAATGATTGCTTTTCTTGCGATAAAATATTTCAAATATATCTGAAGAACATGATGAAGGCAATGTATTACAATTAATTGCCATTCTCTGTAACCACTTAAACTTCGTTGCCACGCATGGTCACCGATTTTGATGAAACTTCACCCATGCTTAGTACTTGACACCAGAAATAAATATCAAACAAAATTTCGTTGCTAAGTGTCTCGGTTGCCATGGCAGCAGCCGGAAAAGTTTGAAAAATCGAGATTTTCAGCCGCTTTAAATCTTGACTGTGGCTTAATAAAAACTAGAAAAAGCAAACAAACCATTCTCACAAAAACATGACACCTTGATGTCACTTATACTCTAAAGAAACTGTTTAGAATATATCTCTAAGTAAGTGGTAACCAAGGGTACACTTGGAATACATTTAAAATGCTGAAATATGCTGAAAAACACTGCCTATTCACTAATGGTAGGTGTTACATGCTC